TTTTGCGTACTTGATAGTCTACATCATACAATGCATATCTCAAGCCTGAGACTGCAGTCATTTTTCCATTTCATTAGCCAAATGAATTTTTTAGGAGATTGCCTAAAGTATTTTATTCCATATTTTATACCCTGTAAACAAATATTACTCTGGAAAAACAAATGGGTGAGGCCTTACTAAACTAGAAAGTTCACTAGCGTGACCAGACAGCAAGTGTGAAAAATCAGGACGGGGGTGGGAGGTAATAGGTGCCTATATAAGAAAAAGCCCCAAATATCGAGACTGTCCCTATAAACTAGGGACATCTGGTCACCCTAAAGTTCACTCTCTTTGGTCTGTATGGTTTGTTTTTGTATGAAAATACATTTTGCTTTAATAAAGGAACAGGATTGGATAAGTCAAGAGTTGGTAATGATATATGGAATCTTTCACATCTAGGACGAATGGTCTAGTGATTAGGGTGCTAGCCTGAGACTTGAGACCCACGTTCAGTTCCCTGCTTCACCATAAACTTCCTGTATGATCTTGGGCAGATCATTTAATTTCTCTTCCCTAATTCCCCATCTATAAAATGGGGATATTATTAATTCCTTGCCTCACAGGACTGTTGAGAGACACTCAGATAGTAGATCTAGGTTGTGATGGGATGTATCCCCAGGGTGAAGCCGGGAAGCTGTTGGAACCGTTGTGCTCCCCTAACTATTCAGCTGGGTTGGCCTCTCCCCTGCTCTGCTGGCGAGACACAGCCAGTCCCTCTGGGCCCTGTTATCACCCGACACGACAACAGGTGGCACCACACACTCCACTAAGTTACCTGAGTGCTTTACCTAAGCCACTCATGGACCAACAATGGAGGCACTAGCCAATTTCCCAGCTCCCCAGCATTGCACTCCTATTGGAGCATAAACACAGAATTAGACCATCTTGCACTGCACAGGTATCTGTACAGTGCAAACTCATTAATTAGTCTGTTCCCCCCTCACTGTGGGGAAGATATGCCCCAGCCTTTGTTAACAGAGCTAAGATTCCCAAACACTTCACTCAAAACCACCCTAGTTAAGATAAAACATAAAACAGGTTTATTAACTATAGAAAGATAGATTTTAAATGATTATAAGTGATAGCAAATAGATCAAAGCAGGTTACCTAGGAAATCAAACAATCGCACTCTAAGTCTCATACAAACTGGATAGGATTTGAATCAGCAATATCTCACCCTGACTGATGGTACAAGCAGGCTCACAGAGTCTTGATGTGCAGGCTGCATCTGCTTTTCAGCCTGGGTTCCCCTCAAAGTCCTTCGTCTTCCATAGGTTCTTTCAGGTGTTGAGTTGTGGGGGAGTGAAGACCAATCAAGATGTCGCTCCCTGTCTTTTATAGTTTCTTCCAGTTTGCTGGAAAGTCTATAAATGTGGAAGGGTGGGGCGGGGGGGAGGAAGGAAGGGGTCCACCTCCATTGGCCAAACATTCTCCATTGTCTCGGTGCTCCCTGGGAGGAGGCTTCCTTATGCAGGGTTCTTGTGTTAGTGGATTCTTCCCTTGATGGGTGTTGATGACAGAAATTAACACTGTCTGGCTACTCCATTGTTGTACCTGAAAGGCTGGTTTGGGGTATTTCCAGCTTCACGTCATACTTTAGTAACTCCCACATAGCAAGATTTCATAACTTCATATACAATGATAGCACATACAATCCAACAAGATATTAATGTTTACCAGATCAAGACTTTTAGAATGATACCTCACAAGGCATACTTTGTACAAAACCTCTCATAATTACATCACCATGGTAAATATGGGGTGCTTTGGGGTGCAGAGTGCCATATAGGTTACAGCTTCAAATCCAGTGGGAGTTTGTGAAAGCTATCACCAAGTGATGGCTGACAGGTGCCCTAGGTGTAATGAGATGGTGGCTTCAGTTCAGTTCCTATTGCAAAAACAGCATCAAAAGGAGTGGAAAGATTATGTTATGGTTAAGGACTGGGACTTGAGAGATTTGTTCCTGATTCGGCCACAGACTTCCTGAGTGACCCTTGGCAAATATTTAACGTGTTGATACTTCAATTTCCCAGTCTGTAAAATGAGGCTGATAATACTTTCCTATATCGTATGGGTATTGTGAGTCTAACTTCATTAGGTTGGTGTGATGCCCATACACTGTAGTTGTGAAAAGCATAGAAAAGCCTATAAATCAGTACAATTGGTACCCTTCTTGGCACAGAGCCTACAGACTAAATAAAGACTGAACTAGAGTTCACAAAGACTCTTAGAGTTCATCCCTCCATATCACAGCTAGGGCTTTTCAGGGAAAGTTTTCACTGCTGTTACACCGTGGGTTCCATTAACTAGCCAGCTAAGCCCCCTTCATTTGCCACATTGTATTTCTAGCAGAGAAATAAAGATGGAGAGCAAACCAAGACACGTAGCTGTTATTTTGTTTGACATAAATGTTTTCACAGCCGCTTAAATGGAGAGCTTAAGCACAATAACCTAATGTACCGTTAATGCAAAGTGGCATGCACCTGTAAGAGGCTGTAACTTAGTGTTCTTGTTGAGTAGATTCTGCTGCTTGTAAGATGTTTGGAACAGAAATACCATGAGTTGGCCAAGAACAATCCAGCAGGATCCCAACTCCAGCCAACCTTTTCCAATTAGCAGTGGAATGTGACAATGTTTTCCATGCCCACTTAGGTTGGGTTTTAAGGTTAGGGGTCAGATTAGCTCTGTCAGGCTATTTGTGTAGCTCAAAATCTGTGTTTATACAGCAGGTCGCTCCCTCGCTTCCCTTCTTGAGATGTAACAGTAGTGCCACTGCTGATGCATCAGAAATTTAATGAGATGTGAAATTTCAAGCTCCTAGTTTTGGGGCAATTGTGTCTTTTATGAGCTTCTGAGACATGGCCTTGGAAGAGGTCCTGTGTACCAAGTTCTGCCTGCAGTCAGTTGCATGAGCACAGTTACTCTTGAATTCGGTGGGGTTTGTGCATGTGTCTTCAAGGGCATCTTGGTCCTTTTTGTGTGAGTTGACCATTACTCTCGTCCAGTGCAGCACAGCCCCATCGTAAACACTTTAAGTATCTTTCGTTAGAGGTTCTCATAATACTGTACAAGCAGTAAAGATGTGATTTACCCCTTTGGTACAGAGCTGACTCGGGACACTAAAGGGGATTTGGGGCAGGAAGGAAATCAAATTTATCTGCACAATCCAGAGGTGAGCAAAAGGGCTGAATAGCCACATGGAGTGTGTGGAGGGGGTGGAGGACGGGGAGAGGTGTTTTAAATAACTTACTTTATGGTGAAGTATAGGAGTAGAGACATGGCCTAAAAGTGAAGTCCATGTCAAGCTGGGTTAGTGCATAACGTTCAGTCAGTCTCTGTGCAGGACTCCCCTTGACATCAGACGGAGTTTGATCAAGCGAGGGCTTATCTTCTGGACAGAGCTTAAATTCTCAGAGTATTTCCCAGAGCCCCCACCCCCATTCCTCATGGGAGGTGCCCGGGGGCTTGGGGGCCCCCTGAAACCAGCTCGCAGCCCCCCGAGAGGACCCTGGACCCCCAGTTGGGAACTGTAACACCATCAGACAGGAGTCAAGTTTTTAAAATATTTACCGGTGCTCTGCTCCAGTCGAATTTAAGCCCTGCTTCTGGACGTGACAGCCTTTTAACCTGTGTGCTCATAGGGGAAAATAAGCCATTATTCCTTGTGCAAGTTCTGTTTTTCTTCCGATTGCCACCTGTTTCTCCCTCCTCTTTACGTGTTTAAATCAGTCCCAAGGTGGTTCCTACCAGCCCTTAAAAGCCTGATATGTGAAACTGTGATTACCCTGGCACCTGAATTGGAACTTTTGGTAAGAGAAATTTCTTTCTTTCTTTTTTTTTTTTTTATGTAGCACCAGCTGCGTGCTAGACGCTTTACAGACAAGCGCCCAACCAGAGTCCTTGCTGTGAAGAGGTTACAATCTTAGTATTTTAATGATGCCTGTTTTGTCTTGGTTTGTTCTCCTTATCTGTATGTTAGAAGAACTCAGTGAGATCTTTCCCATATTAGGGAAGGCTGATGAGAGGAAGGATGGCCTTGTGGCTAAGGCACTGGACTATGACTCAGGAAGTCTGGGTTTAATTCACAGCTGTGCCACAGACTTGCTACATGATTTTGCACAAGCCACTTAATCTCCCTTTGCTTCTGTTTCCCATCTGTCTGGTGGAGGTAACCCTGCCCTTCCTGTCTTGTCGGTTTAGACTGTAAGGGAGTGTCTCCTATATATGTATTTACAGTGACTAGCACAATGAAGTCAGCTGAAGCCTCTAGGCAGTATTGCTGTAATTCAAATAATATTGGAAACCGTTTTAATTGCTACATTGCTAAGATAATTTATGAAACACTTCTAGGATCCTGTCTGAAAACAGCATTTTAAAAAATGTTATTGCATCATTGAACAATACTGGAAACAAACATCCAAAACAGTTACAAAGAAAACACAGTATTTCAAAACACCGACCTTGTCTGTTGTTATCCCATTAGCCTCTGACTTGGTTTATTTAATTTGCCTTTTTGTCACTTAGGATTTGTTCTTTGAGGTTTTTTTTTTTTATTTGAAATTTGTGATCTCATAATGTATTTACCAATTGTTTTTAGTCTAGTGCTTTTATAAACTGACAAACTAGTCCAAACTCTCCACTAGTGCAGCTCCATAAACTTCAAGCGAGATGTGCCCACTTTCACCAAAAGAGAATCTGGCCCTTAATCTCTCCCTCGTTTGAAACTTGGAAACCATTTTTAGGGCCCAGAAGTCCCATGAGGGCCGTGGCCGTGCACAGAATACCGGATCCGGCAATGCTCTTTCAGCTCGGAGAGAACTGTTTTGCTGAAACCCCCCTCTAAAAGCTAATTGCTTTTTTTTTTCAGTTGGAAGATGTGACTGAGGATGAATCACTTGAGGGCAATTCCCTGAATTTTCCCGGGAGGCTATTGCCGATGTTCTTTTCTCTTTCCCCCTCAGCTGGTGAATCGATACTTGTATTCGGGAAGTGCAGACAAGACGGTGAAGTGCTGGTTAGCAGACACTGGGGAGCAAGTCCAAACATACAAGACTCACAAACACAGCGTTAGCACTTTGAAATACCATGCAGGAATCTGTAAGTTGCCTTTCCCCACATTTTGTCTCATTTCCCCTGCTATTTATGGATGTTTTTCCTTTGATTAAAAGTGAATAATAAAGGTAACATTATAGTTGTGAGATCTTGTGAAATCTTCACTGGCTCTTCTTCCTGTCCTAGTGCTACTAGATTGAGCACCAAAGTATGGCCCTCGCTCTGCGGGGTGCCTTCACTTCTCCCAAGCAGAACGTTAGTGCAGGTGCATGCAGCCGTTTCTACTCCCTGGCTGCGGCGGGATCCTGCTATTTCTGCACATCTCAAAGTATATCTGGGTGGGTTGGAGATGTGGCTGGGTTCCATCCTCGTGCACCCGCTAGCACTAGAGTATGCAGGTATAGCAAGAGATTGGGTTTGTGTAATGCACAATTGATTGTTCTCAAACTAAAAAGTATATCTGTGAAACTTGGCCCTTTCCAAAACAGTCTGTCTACTTTGTCCTGAAAGCTAAAACTCCTATTCAGACCCCCATACTCTCCCACACTGATTCCTGCAAATAACTAACGTCTTGTGCCTATGAACCCCATCAAGGCCTCGTTGTGCTAGGCACTACTAACAATTAAGATAGTTCCTGCCTCAGAGAGTTTACAGTCTAGACTTCTGGCCATGTCCTCTCCCCTCTCTGAATCCCTTTGTTGGCTATCTCTTCTAGCATGTCTCATTTATGCTTCTTGTTCTTGGCTTCAGGTTCATGTATAATGCTGATCCTAGATAGTCATCATCCTGAGCCTTTTTATGTATCATCCTCTGGCCTGATCTGCCAGTGATATAGCCGCGGTGTGCTATTTGCCCAGTAAATGTCTCCATGCCTTCTTGCATACAGGCAACATGGAAGAAATGCCCTTCCTGAGCCAATCCACAAGGCCACTGCACTCTCCTCTTCAGCTCCCTCTTCCACATCTGCCTCAACGATGACACCTGCAAATAACTTTGTTGTAGGGTAATTTGGAACTAACTATCCATCCCTATAGGTGGAAGGGCAGTACAATGGCAGGTGAAATTCACTTTTGACAAATACAAGGTAATGCATGTTGGAAAGAATAATACGAACTGCTCAGACATACAGATCATAGGTAAACAATGATTAGCTGACATGATACTGCATATGGTTTTTCTTGGTCCACACTGGCTGGTTGGTCATGATCAGAATCAAGTAAGCTAACTTGATTTCATAGTTGTACCTGGGCACTTAAAAAGTGTTCAGGTAGACAAGCCCAGAGGCATGATACTGAACTATATACACTGCTGGTCTGATCCACTACTGTAACTCCTACTTCCTATTGGGGAGGAGGACAGGAGAGGTGAAGGAGTGGGAGGTCTTTCTTTGTTTAATGAGTGCATGAGAAAGACTAAAGTCTCAAAACAATTCCCGTTCTGTAGCTAAGCTGGGAAATCGAGGGCATTGGCTCACTTGAAAGATTACACACTAAGTTCAAATCAAACTTTCCAAGCTGCCACCCCAGTATTGCCAGATTTTGCACACTCTGCCGTCTTTCCTTTCATCTCCTTCTCTTTCCATAGCACTCCACACTCTGGGACTAAGCAGTCAGCATTGATATATTTAGCCAGCCCTGAGAGAAACTTGGTGTTAGTGTGACAGAGGTGTTCACAAGGGTATTATTAGCTTTTAATATAACAATAAAAGCTAAAAGGTGTTGAAGAGAGACAGCTGACTTGTCCCATTTGGGAAATAGAACATCCAGTGGGCAATGAAGAACATTAAGGACCTGTTTGGGAAGAAAAACACACCGTTTTAACCTTGTAAAAGAGAAACTTCCCCCTTACAACCAGTCGTTTGTTTACAATATGATTTTATTACAGTAGCGCCTAGAGGCCCAGTGGAGATAAGAGCCTCACTGCGCTCAGCACTGTACACATACATAGTCCGAGACGATGCCTGCTCCAGAGAGCTTACAGCTGAAAAAAGACAAGCCAGGCAAAGTATTTTTGCAGATGGAGAACAGAGGCAAGAAACAATTTGCCCAAGGTCCACAGGAAATCCACAGCAGAGCTGGGACTTGAACCCATGTCTCCTGAAGGCCAGGCTAGCATTCTAACCACACTACAGGGCATCTTCTCTTTGCCTCTGTAACTAACAACACCACAGATTATTAAAACGAGATTTTTTTTCAGTGCACTTTATCTTTCACTGATTGTGCTTGTTGTTTCTCTCTTACGTTTCTGGGCTTGGACAATGAAAATGAATTTAGTCAACTCAGATGTCTGTGCTGCAGTTTTTGTGTTGCAAAGATTTCCAGGGAATCTTGTTTAAGAACTGCTCCTTCCATTGAATTTTAACCCCTTCTTCTCCACCCCCCCAAAAAAAGGGGTTTCTTTTGGGTTTGCAGGTAGGTTTGGATACCAATTTATTTATATACAATCTAAATGTTGGCCTGAACTTGATTTGACATTGCCCCTTTGAAGCTCTGATGTATAAGTAACCTCTTTAAATGCAAAATGACAGTTCACAGGGAAATAAAGGATACCTGTCAAAAAGCAAATCCTGAAAGAAAGAAAGAAAACTAAAATGTACTCGCTAAGAGCAATCCAGTTGCTGATCCAGACTGCCCTTGCTTAATTTGAGATCTGCAAAGCTTGTGCCACTAGATGTATAGTGACAGGTTGTTTGGTGTACCAGTAAATAATACTGAACTACCACGTTTGTCCATTTCTTCTCTTTCAGTAGTCAATCAATGCCTTGTCATCTGTTTTGAGGGGTGAGGCGGCTGGAGACAGAATGTGAATCCTTGGATGCCCTTCTGTTTCACAAAACTTTCCACACTGGCAGTTTCTGATGAGGCATGAAATACAAGGATCACTGATTTCACCTATTTTCTATCTTAGTTCAGAAATGTCTATCTATAGGAAAAGTCAACGAGCTGGGAATAGTTAAGAAAAGTTGTGCCATTAGAAGAGAATGTTCCCCAACCATTAAAGCTGGTTGGAATGGTCCTTACTCTGTGTATTAATAGCTAGTTGTTCATAGTCTGAAATGTTCAAAAATGTCTTGTGATTTTTGTGTGCCCAACCTGAAACTCCTTAAAGGTGCTGAGCATATACCCTCTGAAAATCAGGCCCCTTTAAAGTATCTCAAGTTGGGCACCCAAAATCACTAGTCATGCTTGAATTTAAAATAACCTCCCATAGTTCCTATAGTATGTGGTATACAATATAGACGTGACAGGACATTTTCAATCATTTCTATAAACTCCTATACTGTAATGGAATACCAACTCTAACCTGTGGCTTAAATCACTCAAAGGCTGTATTGCTTGCAAGGATCCTAAGCTACAAGAGTAAATTGAAAAAATCTGCTCTTATGAAAGGAAATTTGTAGAGTTGCTTGAAGATGCATTTTCACTGCTGAAGAAAAAGGATTGTTTTATAGCTCTGCCCAGAGAAATCATACCTGCTGATAGTAAGCTTTTTTGGTGGAAAAGCCCAGGCTTTATTCTAACAGTGGTAAAGCCGTGCTTCATATATTATGAGAGAAAGGGTTAGACTCGTACTTAATTACTGGGGTTTGCAGTTTCTCTTTCAAAATCAGAAGGGTATTCACCTCCGCTGCTTGATGCAACAGAAGAAACTAGTGAAGATACTACAGCAATGAATGGGCCCCTGGAACTGTACGGTGTTCAAAGATATTGAAAGCTTCGGGAAAATCTTTGAAACTAAGGATATCTTGTCTGCTCTAGAGACTGTCAAATCATATGTATAGACAGGGAAACATACAGAGAGAAGGAAGGGAAACCTAAATGTGTGCAATGAACGTGGTCAGGTAGACTTAACATGAGAAGGAACCGTAGACTTGAGGAGGAGTTCAGTACTTTGAAAAATGAGTGTTGTGTGTGGGGGAAACAAAGTCTAGAAGGAATTTAGGCCGAGTGTAATGAGTGTGTAGCATGGAACAGCAAATGTAGCCACAGAAGCACAAACTGATTGCTTTACAAATAGAACAAATGTTTTTGAGTGGGGTATGTTTCAGGAGTAAAGCCAGTAGCTGGTTGGATGAACCTGAGTGGGCTGCATGGCAGCTTCTCCTGGAGGAAGATACCCATGTTAATAAAACAGGATCCTTTGTTTCATGTTGTGTTCAGCAACTTCTTCCTCCCAGTGGATTATGTATATTGGAATTCTGGACCAGATCCTCAGCTACAGTAAATCAAGGTAGCACCATTGAAGTCCAATGGAGCTCTGCTGACTCTCATCAGCTGAGGGGCTGGCCCCACATCATCTAACCCTGCTCAGAGCAAGCCTATATTTCATGGCGATTAAAACATCAGTGGCTACTGGTGCATTGTCTACACTACTCTGCTTTTGGAGCTCCAGATTTCTTAGCAATGGTGGGAAAGACCACAGAATCATAGAAATGTAGGACTGGCAGGGACCATGCATAGAGGCTGGCCAAGGTATTATCTAGACCATCCCTGACAGGTGTTTATCTAACCTGTTCTTAAAAACCTCCAGTAATAGAGATTCTAGGTAATTTGTTCCAGTGCTTAACTACCCTTAAAGTTAGGAAGCTTTTCCTAATTTCTGACCTAAATCTCCCTTATTGCGATTTAAGCCCATTACTTCTTGTCCTGTCCTCAATAGTTAAGGAGAACAATTTACCATCCTTCTCTTTATAACAACCTTTTACATACTTGAAGACTGTTATGTCCCCCCTCTCAGTCTTCTCTGCTCCAGACTGAAAAAAAATGGGTTTGTTTAATCTTTCCTCATAGGTCATGTTTTCTAGCCCTTTAATCATTTTTGTTGCTCTCCTCTGGACTTTCTCCAATTTGGCCACATCTTTCCTGAAGAGTGGTGCCCAGAACTGGATGGAGTACTCCAGTTGAGGCCTTATCAGTGCTGAGTAGAATGGAAGAATTACTTCTTGTGTCTTGCTTACAACCCTCCTGCTAATACATCCCAGAATGACCCTTCTCTCATTTACACAGGACTAAATTGGGAGCAACCTTACTGGTGTCCATGAAGCTAAACTGGTATGAGCAAGTGGAGAATCAGGCCCAGAAAGTGTTTTCCTCGAATAACTGATCCTTTATGATTGGTCACATGGCTATCCTCAAAAGGCCTCATTGCTCCTTTGTGTTAGTGTTTACAGGAAGTGGTGATGCCTGCGCTCGAGCTTTCAATTCAAAGACAGGCGTCCTGCAGAGGATCTTCCGAGGACACAAGTTCATCATCAACTGCATTCAGGTGAGGAGGGGATTTTACTTTGAAAAACTCAACATCCAGATCAGCAAGTTTTAGTATAGATTTCTCCATATGTTCTGTGGAAACTGACATGGCCAGTTACCTGGGCATTAGAACACTTGGAATGCCATGTGCTATGACATGCAGTGGGGAATTGGGCCTTAAATGTAAAGGACTAAACCTCCTGTTTACTTCCAAGCTGCATTTTGATTGTGGTGACTCTGAAATGTGCAGTATGGGATTAAGTATGACCCTATTGTTCCAGATTCACAATGAATTATTGTACACAGCTTCCCACGATGGCACGCTAAGGATCTGGGACGTACAAGGAATCTGCAAGCGAAACAAGCATTGCCTGAAGAAGGAGCGGTCTGTCCCGGGCAAGAGCTCTCAGAAGGGAAGTCTGTCTCGTCTTTTCAATAACAGAGTTGGCTGCACAGTGCAACAGGAGAATGGGGAACTTGAGGCTGTTGAACTAATGTGATTGCCCGGGACAAACTTTCTGTCAAAGAGGAAAAACTGAGCCATCTTCTGTGCCCTTGGGTGCAGATAAGCCAGATCTTGGAAAGAGGTGGGAAATTACATTGCCCAAAGTGTTCAATCAAGAGTTCACATTCATGTGAATCATGAAACTGACTCTCTTCAGAATATTACTGATGTCTCACAGCATCTCATAGTACATTGTAATGGAAAGTAAACTTGAGTGGATGACTTACCGACCAGGGGCAATATGGGGTCAGGCGCCATTGTGGAGAGCAGTCCATGAGATATGCCTTCCCCTATATTTTTGTTTGTAATTATAATTTGTATTTAAGACTCCTTTTCCCAGTTCCTTCCTGTACAGTGGTATTTTGCCCACTGCTGCCTCACCCTGGTCCCTGACAGGAGGAGAGGCAGGAATAAGTAATAAGCCAATAGGCTCCCTCCCCTTCTTATTGCGTGTTACAACACACTGCGATGGAGCAGAATGTGCAAGCGAAAGCTGCCTTGCAGGATGACTCTGAATTGAATTTTCTCAGCTCCCTTTGGGGTTATAATGTCCTTGCCTCTCACTGATCCGAATGACTTTAATGTAGGAGAGCTTGGCTGAGGCACACAGATGCCTGAAGTCTCTTTGGTGCTTGAGCTTAGAGCAACAGAGCAGAGATTTAAATGGGCTTTGAAAAAACCCAACAAATGACCAACCTGAACTTCAGGCCTGTTCCTCCGCATACAGCGCGAGTGGGAGAGCAGGATGGCAGTGAGTTCCCCTGAGGGGTGGGGGAGGGAGGGCGAGGGCCTTGTTTCTTTGTTGTGGACATTGGAAAGCAGGACAACAGGCTTCATGTAAGGATGCTGGTTCTGAAGGATGTGATGGAGGGGGGTTGAGTGAATGCAGCCACCCAGTATCTCTCTGGCTTCACTGCTAGGCCTGGTGTCCTTTCACATCTCATGAACCCATCAGCGGTGCTGCAAATTCCATGACAGGTGACATAGGAGCCAGACAAAATCTAGAAAGTGCGTGGAGACCATATGGGCTTTGAAATGAAGAGCATGTTACCACGGAAGAAGGTGGGTACCTGTTGGAAGGAAGGTGGTGATGTGTAAAGATCTAGAGTGAAATTGTTAGAGATCACCTAGGTGTGCCTGAAGGAAAGCGGGGTTTGGATAAGCATCTGAATCAATGGTTCTCAACCTGTTTATGTGGCCCACAGTGTGTTACGTGGGCCGCAAGTTGAGAACCACAGTCCCCCCCAGCCGCCCACAGTCCCCTATGCCCAGCGTGGGCCAGGAGCCGATCCCTGGGTGTGGGCTGGGCAGAAGCTGGACCCAGACCCTGCCATGTGGGGCTGCATAGCAGCTGGGACCCAAGTGCCGCGGCATGGGGCCGGGCAGCTGGGAGCCCTGGTACTGGGCCAGGAGCTGAGCGCCCGGTGTGGGCTGGCAGCCAGGACCCAAGAAGGGGGGCCAAGAGCAGAGCCCCACCTGAAACCTGGGGGTGCTGCAGCACCCTGGCAAATCCCTAGTTCCCAGTGCCCCCCATCCCCTCACTGCCCAGAGCCCCCTCCACAAACCTACTCACAGACCCACTCTCCCACCCCTTGTCCCCCTGAGGCACTCACCTGCCCCCTGCTGGCAGGAGCACTCCAGCAGTCTGCATGACGCAGTCTCCCCCTCAGCCAGCCCTGCCCCCGCCAGACCAGAACGGCACATTTTGAATTTTTTTTTCGCACACAGTTGGGCTGCAGCTGTGTACTAATTGGGCCGCAGGTTGAGAACCGTTGATCTAAATTTAGGGGTGTCGCACTCATCTCTTCCAAGTTCACTGCTCCTTGATAATCACTGAGCCATAAATACTCGTGTCATTTTTTTTTGTAGATACAGCACACTTTGTAGATTCAATGAAACATACTTAACTATGTGTTTTTATTTTTGTGGCTTTATTTATTCTGTATTGTGACAGATAAATGCTGTAATACTCTTTGTGAGTGGGTAATAAACACATGGCATCTATAGATGAAACTGAATCCTTTATTTGTAATTTCTTGCTGCATACATAGGATTGGCTGCAGACAAATGGCAGTCAGAAAGGGAGGGGAAGGGGAGAAGCAGAGGGAAAAAAATCATGTGAACTTTACAAACATGCCCTCACTTTCCCCTCTTAGATGGCCTGGAGTCAAGTCTGTTACTGGTGAGGCAGGATGGTCCCTAAATTCTTATGTCCCGCCTGCTGCAGGTGTATGACTGCCAACATCTCAACTCTGTAAGCTGCTGAATTTGACTGACAAAGCCACAAAATACACTGCAGCCTTGGGAGACGTATGCTATCCCGGGAGCCAGGACACCCTGGTTTCACCTCTTGGCTCTCACTAGCTGTTGCACTTCACAACTCTTATTAGTGAGCGAGGTATCTCATCCTTCCCTCCCCTGAGGCAGGAGAATGGTACGTCCTCTGTTTTACAAATAAAGTCTCGGCTGGCAAAGTTGGGAACAGACCCTAGCTCTTTGGTAGTGCAGTGCCTGCCACCTCTGTCACACTGCCTGTCAGGGCTTGGCTCAGCCTAACCATTAGCATGCCCTCCTCCCAATGCACCGTATAGAACCAAGGCAGCCTTACTCCTACAATTCTAATACTTTCTAGCAGATAGGTGTGTAAACTGGGGCAAAGTCTGTGCCATACTGAACCCCTCACATAGTGCCTGGTCCACAAGGATAACAGCCTACATTGCTATCAGTTGTTCCTGTAGTGCAGGCAGTAGAGATGGCTACTGGGGATCAGAAGGTCTTGGGTCAAAGCCTGTTGCCTCACCCTGTGGGGAAAGGCAGCATGTGCTCATATGGTAAGGGTTGTCCTAGAAGTATTTAAACAAGCTGCCACAGGCCTATCTTTTTTTCTCTCTCTTATAAATGAAGTGGTGAAATTCTATCCTTGCCCAATGACAGGCTCAGCACAGCTATACTCAAGATTTCAAGGGCCCACCAGATCACTTAGTCTGACCCTGTGTATATCACAGGCCCACGCCATCCAGGACCAGCCCCAACACCCCACATTAGAGTGAAGTATTACAACCCACAGGAGACTATGTGCTGCAGGCAGAGAATAGGAGGGACTGAGGTGCACCAGTGCCCAAGGTGCTGCAGTGGCAGAGAAATGATTGAGATAGACCCAGATCATTCTGGGTACCCACATACTACAGTGGAAAGCAAACACCCTCACGGTCACTGCCAACCTGACCTTGAGGAAAATTCCCTTTCCAGCACCACATATGGTGATCAGTTAGACCCTGAACAAGAACCAGCCAAGCTCCTAATACTTCTGAGGGAATTCTGTGCCAAAAAATTAAAAATTCTACACCAAAAAATAAAAATTCTGTGTGCAACATTTTAAAATGCTGCATAATTTATTTGTCAATAAATAAATGTGGAGGCTGCAGCAGGGGGGGAGGGGACAGGGGAGGTGGGGAACAGGGCCCTGGCTGCACAAAAGTAGGTAATCACCCTGTGCCCCCTGCCAGATTTGGCAGTGGGGCTGTACCTGACCCTCACAAGGGCCACGCCCGCCCCACACCCCAGGGCCCTGCCCCTCCATTCCAGGTGCCAAAACAGTGAGAAGAACAGAGTCTCACTTGCATGCTCAGCCCGGCCACTGATCCAGGTGTGGGGCAAGCAGCTCTGCCTTGCAGGATCCAAGTGTGGAGGGGCTTAGTGTGGGGGATCCAGATCTGGGGTGAGGATTCTGTGTGGGGCAAGCTGGAGGCGGACAGTTCAGCAGTGGAAAAGCTGGATGCACAGGGACGACTTGGGGGGTTCTGGGTGCAGGGGGAATGGAACTCTGTGGGTGGGGGGGGTCCAGGTGAAGGTGGTTGTGACTCAGCAGAGGGAGGGGTCTGGAGCTTTGGGAGCTGGGTGTGAGCGGGATGGGGGCTCAGCAGGGGGGGGGCTCCAGGTGCTGAGGGAGTGAGGCTTAGTGGGGGTGGCGGTCTGTGTGCAGCATGTTGGGACTCAGTGGGGTGAGAGGGTCTGGGTGCAGGGGGAGCTTGTTGACATGATCCAGGTGCAGGAGGGATGGGCGTTCACGTGTGTGTGGGCACTTGGTGGGGGAATGAGGCTCAGCTGGAGTGTGTGTCTGGGTATGGAGTGTGAGGGAGTCCAGATGCACGGGGGGCAGCGCCCTGTACAGTGACCCCCCCCAGACCCCTTCCCCAAGGCTGAGGAGTGACAGGGGCAGGAAGTAGGGGGGAGGGTCATCCCAGATGCATCACAGGAAGATTTAAAAAAAAAACAACTCTCCCAGACTACTTTGAGGGTGGGGGAAAATCCCTTCCTGATCCCCCTCCAGCTGGCTGGCTGAAACCCTGAAGCATGAGCTTTTATGAGTGTAACATGGACGTCAGCCCTGCCCCCCCCACCATCACAAGTAACCCCTTCATACAATTACACTCATAACTTTGTCCAGCTTGTTCTTGAAACAAACTAAGTTACTAACTCATCCTTCTACCGCTTAGAAACCTTCTTCTAATGTCCAGCCTGAATTTGTTCATGGCCAGTTCACCCCCATTTGCCCACGAACCAACATTGTCCATTAACTTAACTAGCTTGTCCCCTACCATACTATTAGCACCACCCCACCCGTGCAATGTATTTATAGAGCACAATCATTGCCCCTCTCAGCCTTCCTTGTGCTTGACTAAAGCACGAGTCCTGCTTGTCTATGCAGGTGTTTTGGTTTTTTTTACCAGTTGTTGCCTATGTCCAGCAGGTGCCACCACCACTTTGTTGGCTGGGACAGAAGTTTGTGTGTAACTCATACTAGGTGTACGTCTACACTTCAAGCTAGAGGTGTAACTTCTAGCTCCAGGTGAATGACCTGAGCTTGCTTGTCCAGAGCTAGCCTGGTGCTGTCTCTACCAGCTTGAATTTATACTTCCAGCTTGATGTGTGCTGGTTTAGGTACCTACCTGCAAGCAGGACTGGCCCTGTATTCTACCACTGTCAGCCACTACTCCATCTTGCTATGCAGCTCTGTACTAACCATTGGTCCTGGGGGGGGGACGGACACATTTATAAGATGGTGGCTCTTACCAGGTTCCCTCCTCAACAGCCAGGAGGCTCACTTTATTCATGGGCTGTGAGCTCACTGATGTGTGTTAGCAGTTCAGATGAATAAATAGGAGTTCTGGCTGGAGGACCGGTAAAGGCTTATCTTTTTCTCTGATGGGTAAAGTGCACCTA